CTCTCCTTATTGCTCTTGTGAAATCACTTCTAAGCTTCCCTCCACGTTAATTTCCAAAGCCATGCCTGAGTTCAAAAATTGTGAGTTGTGGAGTTCAACCAGTAATGACGAGATGGTAGATAACACATCAACGAGGAAAAGAGCAGGAAAAATTCACCCGAACTGTCCCTTTAAAATGCAGATGCGCTTGTACGAGGAAGGGGGTGGTCGGACAAGTTCTCACTTGTTAGTGCGCTCCTTCTTATCACCTAACTCTCACCATTCAGAGCAGAGAATTAGTAGCGTAATATAGATAGATTAGATACGTCACATACGTTTCAAAGGATATGTAAGACAGAAGGTAAGATAAGTAATGTAAACAAGACGTAACTTCAAGATAAATAAAATGATCACTAACTTGACTGTAAGAAGGCTCTTCAGCGTGCTATCTACTTTCTCGATTTCTTTTTTACTTTTGTCCAACTCTTCCTTCATTTCTCTGTGCACACCAGCAACAGTTGCTCGAAGACCATCAAAAACTTGATCCATTTCCCTGAAGTAACGAGCAGTACTTCAGCAAATATCTTTAACCTTACCCTAAACTCGTAGACTGATGTGACAACATGTCCTTCGGGGAATTCGACAAGATCCAAATTGAGAACATTGACTATAGAGTTCGCTATAGAGTCCACATACCTCTTGATCAGACTCACGCAAAGGCAGGTGACCATAGTGTGATCGTACAGGTATGTTCTGACACAGTTACACTGGTCTATGGTGGTTTGGACAAAGAATGAGGTCTCCTGTCTTGTGGTTCACTGCTGAATCCAAAGCTGCGGCAGCGTGCCTCTTTCTGCGCTCAAAAGTGCACGGGAACGGGGCAGGAGGGCAATGATACCCGAACTGAAAAATTGGTATCATTGCAAAAGATGCAACTCGAAACAGCGCGGGCGTTAGAGTGGAAATGACAGCCCGGTATCACTAACTACAACCTGATTTAGCGTGCTTTTCAAGTGACGAGACTGTCACATTTGCACAACTTTGGTGACATGTAATAATGGATAGCGCAAGGACTGGTGAGCGTGAGGAGCTGGTTCGGTTTCTGCCTAACGCCGAGTCTGATGCTTTAAAGTGAAAAGTGAAAAATCTAGCCTATGAGATAAAGGACCAAGTAAGCTGTGACGGAAGAACAATCAAGCGAATAATTACCGCATTGCTTGGGTTTCACAATGTGTCGTATGAGCTGCTCCAACTTGTTGCATTCGTGCAGCGAGATGGACACGAAATTGCTCTTTCAGGTGCTGCTCTTTTGCGTGAGAATTCCAACGCATACGCTCCCACAAATATAAACCTCCATATGTTGCCGCAGTGACAGCAATTACTGCAAACAACATGCAAAGCATTATCAAACCGCAAAGCTTACCCCGAATGCTCACTTCCAGCAATAACACAACTAGCATTTAGCAGTAAACCCTCATCGAGAGAAAATTCGCTGTCTGCTTACCCTCCATCCTACAGCCCTGTACACGACTCCACCAATAATCAACAGCCCGATACTTCCATTAGCCAGATAGCTGGCAGACGTCAACACCATCTGTGTCATCATCGCATTTTCTTCGACAGCCTTGTGCATAGCTTCAGCATGCAGATCTTCATTGGTGCGACCGGCATTTCTCTACAACATGAGAGATATGTATCAGTTCGCTTATTCAAGCTGTTCATAAGTCACTAACCAACGCCAATGGAGTCAACAGATTCGTTTGGATAGCAGTTACTGGCTGTCCCGATCTATATGCGATTATACGACGAATGATAGCCGATAACCCAAATGTAAAACGAAATTCTAGGTCTTCGTGGAAATCCCTGAAAAAGTTTCATCACAATACATGCTCTCTTAACTGTACTGTCAACCTGTCAATCATATACACTGCACCGGAAACGTTGGAACAAGATAACAATATCATTTCAAAGCAATTTCGACTTATCTTTTCAATTTTAACTCAGTGTAACTAGAAACATATTTCTGTGAAACCACTGTCAAAAAATAATAGCTACACACCAGCCGACTATTGATTTTCACTCAGAACAATCGCTGCTAACAGTAAACTCACTTCGTCAGCGCAGGTGCGTCAACGCAGATGCTGAATTTGAACGGCGCTCGATACCTCCAGACCTCTTCAAGTTTATGTTGGTAAGGCTCGGCTAGGATTTGAGTTACGTACTCTGAAAAGCAAAGAAAACTGAAACACAATAAGAGTGTGTACACATAGCGGCAGCTAGAGTAATTTCAGCGCACACCAGCGTTTCAACCGACTAAGGAAGTATAGGTATCGATCTGAGGTTCTGAGCGTAATTCAGCATTTTCGCCTATTAGAAACGGTGATCGATACCTTCAGTTTCCTAGTCGCTCAAACGTTTCGACTTGTGAATCGTGCTGCATGTAAGCTGGATATAAAGCATCTAACCAGCCATATTAAAAACTGGCTCAGAAGAAGTCTCAACTAGAAACTAGAAGCGAAGTTGGAAAGCAAGATTGGCTAGAATGCCATGGAATGCATCTTGAAACGGCCTTTAGGAAAAACATTGCTTACCATCCACAACCATGTCTCTCAACTATGGAAAAAAACATGCAAAAGATGGCGACATTATCAAGATGCCATCCTAACAGGAAAAATTCGCATCCACACTCGAGAAGAAACAGATAGCGTCGAGAAAAGACTCAGGAAAATGAAGGCGTTAAGAGTGCTTGGTGAGTCAGGGCTAGGCCTGGGCGTTAATGCATAGGACGAATATAACTCCTTCACTTGTGGATCTCTAGTCATCTTTTTGACGTAATGTCAGAAAAAAAGGGTGAGGAAATTGGAAGAGTAAAGCACCAAGAAAGGAAGCAACCCCACTTTTAACGTCAGATTTAGGTTTCCAGAGAAGCAGACCTGGTACATATCGATAAAAGACAGAATACGACACCAACTAGAGACTATTTATGTAAAACAAGGAGTTAACATGGCTTTCCATATAAAGGTGTTAATCAACAACGGCGAATAAGAAATGCGACTGCAGTTTTATAACA